TTGTTATGTAATTATATGGCATAAACATTGAAGATAACTCACAAGTTGCTTTTCGTATTTTCTGTTCATGTTTTACTTTTTGTCTCAAATTTTTTGCTTTTCATTGTATTCTAATAATTGAAATAAATTTTAAAAAGCTTATGCTTAGGATTTATAAATAATATATTTTCCTAGTTTGATGAATTATGCCATAGTTGGAATATTGCAGAAATTTTATCACAAGATTTTATGACATTTTTTTTCTTCTTGAATTAAATAAAATATTAATTCTGATAATCCTCATGCTTTGGTGCAAAGGTTGCACAGATTAAATGTTATGTCATTCTTGTTATGTTTCCATTTCTCTTGTTCTATTTGCATTAAATTTGGATTGTTTGCACTTAAATTATGATCAGAACATATCTATACCATATGAATTAATAAAAATTTATGGAAACAAAGCTGTTATATAAGTACAATAATATATAAAGAAAATAATGCCAGTATAAGAGGCAAATTTAATGTAAAGAAAAAATGATGAATGAGAAGTAACTATTTTGAAGAAGATAGAAACTTCTATAAACCATATCAAAAGGTTTTATATATATATATATATAATATATATATATATGGAAAAAAAAATTGGTGTTTTACATGCAAAAATATTTTTTAAAGAATTTCTTATGCTCTTAAACCAAAACAAAAAATAAATAAATACATAAGTAAATATACTGTGTAATTCCATCACCAAGATAATTTTCCCAAATTTAACCCCCCCCAAACTAATTTCACCAGTATGGTACATGCATGTGTAGTTTTCACATTAGTCACAATTTATGAGAAGTCTTAAATTGAAATTTCATATTTATTATTGTTCTTTGTCCATTTTTCTTTACCATGTTTATTTTTAATGACGAAAAACTGTATTTTTGGTACTTAAATGATATCCGAATGACCACAAAATTGTCATCCAGCAATACGATTTTGTGCCAGTTATGTGTATGTGTGATGTAACAACACACTTGTAACATCTACACTTTCATTTGATGTAGCCTCAGTTGATTCTCAAAAATCCACCTTATATTTTAAGAATAAGGATATAAATTAATGGTTATTGTATTTTTTTTTTTTTTTTTTTTTTTGCTTTTTGAAAAAAAATTGGAACCTACTGCAGAACAGCAAACAGTGGATTATTTTCAAAGGTGGAATAAAAAATGGTGTATTAATAGGCTAAATGTAGTTGGCTGATTACAACAAACAAAACAGTGATAAATTTGAAGAGTTACTTGTGGGAATTTTATAGTCATAACTTTGAATGGAGTTTATTTACTACCTTCGCAGTAACAGTTCGTAAAATTGCTCTTTTTTTTCCCTCCTTTGTTTTCTTTACTTCCATACTGAATACTTTCTCTGCTTCCATACTTTAGTCAAATAAAGAAAATTTTCAGACGAAATTTAAAGCAATATATAAACCAAATAAATCAATGACTTGAATTCTTAAATTATACGGTTCTTAATTGAAAGTGGTGGAATCAAGGTTCACTTACCCATTTTCCACAGGGTAACGATGAGCTGATCACTATATAACCATATCCATGAGACAAAGAATTCTCAACAAAATGTAAGTTTAAAGAAAATCTTCATGAGCCAATTCCAAGCTGCAGTTCGACTTGCCAAAAATTTTTGTCCAGTTGTGGACTGAGGCGATAATGTCCTTTCTTAGTTTTATTTTAAAGCACAGTAATAATACATATGATACATTAGAACCGAATTTCTCAACAGTTGACACTGATGCAACTTAGTGGCAACAACCAATACTTTTTCTCATATAGTTGGCGGCATTCGAATTTGAAGTGCAGGGTCACCAAGTTTGATGCAGTTGCAGTTAAATGTAACAACTATTCTAAGGTCTGAAAATATCGCTAATTGAATAAGAAATTACAGTGGCTTGTAAAAAGGTTCGTTCACTTAAGAGTTTTCAGTGAAATATTGCTTTATTCATTAATAAATTTGATATTTAAGAATGAGAATTTTTTAATGACTCTAAATTTTTCAAAGTCTTTGCAGACTTCTAAAAAATCTCCACATGTTTGTAAATATTATAGTCTTTCTGTTGGTTAGTATTTTGTAGGATGTCCTACAGCATTTATGTTTTTAGTTTGATTTCCATTTTTATGTTGCATCTTTGTACTCTAACCTCAAATTCTCTCCAAATGCATTCTATTGGGTTTTAATCTAGTGACTGAGGTGGTGTTTTCAGAACTTGTGGACAGTTATAAACACACCAAGTTGCAAGGCGAACTTTGAGAGCCATGTGCTTAGGATCATTATCCTGAAGAAAAAGAAAAAAAAAGAAAAAAAAAGTTTCCAATAACCAAATTTTGGGCAAATATTTTAATTATCTTGGTACTGTTCTGTTATCAGGACCAGATTCAGAAATATATGTATATATGCATGTATGTGGGGATGTATGTGTTTATGTATGCATGTGTGTCTGTGCATATACATATATGCACTTACTTACACATGTGCATACATTCATGCATTTCTGAATCCGGTCCGATAACAGACCAATAAAATTATCTTTTAAAATATTTAAATAAAGAGCCTGGCTCATTATGACATCAGTAAATAATAAATTACCTAATCCTGATGCTGACATGCACCCCCACACAAGGACATATCCACTGCCATGCTTTACTGTTCCAACAAAATCTTTGGGATTAAGTTCCTCATTTTCTTCTCCATATGTCCATCAGAAAAAAAAAAAAAAAAAAAAAAATGTTAATTTGCTTTCATTCACAAATAAGGCATGGTTCCAATTAAGCTTTCTGTGTTTTGCATTTACAAAAAATTTTCTTCGGGCAGAGTGCCCATGTACTCCAGCTGATCTGAGTACTTATTGAACAGTTTCAGGTGAATTGAAGAAGAAACTTTTCAGTAAATTCTGTAGAAATCTTTACAGCACTTAAGCATGGATTTTTCACAAATTTCTAACTATAAATCTCTGATCACGTTAACTTTGCCGAAAATAACTTATTTTATTTTCAATCTGATTTTCTTCTATAAAGCATTTTATCACATACTGCACCATAGAATGAGGTAAATTTACTAATTTAGTGGTGGCTTGATTTTTCACCCTTATGATGAAAAATTATCAACTTTCAAATTATATTTGTTGTTTTCTTAGGACAGCAACCCATTTTTAAAAATTAAATAAAATACAACGAAATAAACAAGCATAGAATAAAGCCTAGCAAATTGTTAAATGTCATTGAAATGAAAAAAAAAAAAAAAGCAAACAGTAATTTATGAAATTTTACGAAAAGATTTCAGTGTACAATTACTTTTGTGGCATATTTTATCTATATCTTTTTGCATTTTTCAGTTTTAGAAAAAGAAAGCAATTCAGTATTTAGTTGTATTCAGAATCGCGTGGAGGTGATTAGGAATAAATATTGGGCTCTGTAATTCGAATTCAATTCAGGGCTACAGCATTTTTTCTACAAATTCTTAAAGTGTACAAACACTTTTGGGAGCCATTGCATATCTGTCTAGAGAATTAAAAAGAAAGTATTAGCCGAAAATGAAGCAGCTTAAACAACTTACATTGAAAGGATTTAATAAAGCAAACAAATTAATATTGAGTTTTTTATGTAAATTTTGATTCCCTTAAAGTAATAAATGCTTTATTATTATTTCATATTTTTAATTTTATAATTTGTACATGTCATCATATTAAATTTAAGCATATGATCTAATATCTGGAAAAATCCATAATCTGGAATCACGGAAGTTCTGATGAGTTGAGATCTCGTACTATGTACTGTATTTGTATGAAAAATCGTCCCCCTCCCCCTTCTGTTAACAAGGCCAATTAACATGTCCTGGAATTCACTCTATAGAATAGAACTAAGAAAAGTTATAAAGTTCTCACCAAAAACATCATTTAGCTTTTCTAGTACTTGTTTGAAAAATCAGCAATTGGTGAGAAATTTGTTTTCAGTAAATTGCTTAATTACATCAAGAATCATATGTAATATCAAGAATTACCTATGTCCCAAAAGTAAGACTATAAATATCAGTGTGGCTTACCATCCATTCTTTTAATCCTTTTGTTATATTTTGTAATCATTGTGATATCCTGTTTTTCAGCTGCAGGTTTTATTGTCTCCAGTTTGTTTGACATTTTCCTCATATTAACCCTTTTGCTGTTGCTACGTTAAGCAATTCTTTCTTGCCTGATATGTGCAGTTTCTATCAGTTATAAATTTGTAATGCAAGTTGGTTCATTTATGCCCACTGCAGTATGTAATTATGATGTGAGCTGGGCTTGTTCGTGACCATCAAAAGGTTAACTTTTCTTTTCAGACTGCCTAATCTATATTGCTGATATGCATCTTTGGGATAACTTTTTTGTTGAATAATAGGTGAAATATTTTGAAAGTATTTTATAGTAAAACCTCAAGTTTTTTAATCGTAAACTTAGTGAATGAATTAAAACTTTGTCCTATTTAGGTTATATATTTTTCTTTTGATTTAATTGAAATTGTCTTAAAAGTTACTCAGCTACAGCTTTTAAATATACTAGAGACCAATAGCCTTAAAAAGTTTTAATCATTTTAATATTTTAGGATTTAATGGAATATATATACATATATATTTGCAAGATATATATATATATATATATTTGCATTATTTTATCACTAGAGAAGCTGTAACATTTTCTCAATAGTTGCTATAAACTTTCAGGGATGAACAAGTTATGTAGGTTTCAAGTATGGCATTTCACTTTATGTCCCTTGTTGTGTGGCTTATGGGAGATTATGAAATGCCATGCTGTATCAGTTGTTTTATTTGAATGATTGTCTACCCTTGAAAGTTTCATAGTGATTGTCAATAGATGTCTGTCACCCTTATTTATTTAGATTCAATGCTTAGACATAAATTCCATTTCGAAATGCCATTTTGAAAAGTGCACTTATGAATAAATTAAGTACAATCTTTCTTTCTTTTTTTAGAGTTTATTAACAGATGAACAGCTTGCAAATTGTCCGGTACTAATATTAGGTAATAAAATTGACAAACCTGGTGCTGCAAGTGAAGATGAACTCAGAGCTTATTTCAATCTATATGGACAGACAACTGGAAAGGTAATTGTAATACTGTCTGGCATTTATTTTAACAAATCTAAATCTTAATTTTATATGGATGCAATTTAGAGAATTGTATTTTAATATAATTTTTAAGAAATTATTTACTTTCAATTAAAAAGTCTGTGTATTGACTATGAAACTGTGTGCTAAAAAATAATTTTCATATCTATATCTTAAAGTAGTGTTAGAAACGAAAATTTTAATGTAACACACTGTATATTTTATTTGAGTGTTGACAAATATTTTTTGTGTTTCTAAATTTCTTTCCAATTCAGACAGTATTCATAAAATTATTAAACTTCAGTAACAAAGTACATGAATGCTTTCATGCATTTATGTCCAATTTATGCCATTAGTGAAGCATCATATGCTTAAATCATCAGTTATACATTTTAAAATTATTCGTAAATGTTTGGGCATATCAAAAATTTATACACCATGTCAAAACAACTAGCATACCTACAAAAGGCCTGCAATCGTGATGAAAATTTAGCATGAGTAATGATGAAATAAGAGATAAAATGATTAAGATTAGACATCAGTCAATTTCAATACACAGCAGACATAGATCCAGAACCATTTACTGAAAGATGGTGTCAATGAAAGCAATAGCATTTGCATTATGACAAGTGGCAGAATGTTGCAAGTACTGCAAAAGATTATTAAAAATTACTAAATATTATGGGGAATGGTTCCCATTGGTAACATCTGGTATTATTAATGTGTGCTATTCCACAGTGAGAAAGGAAAAGTAGTGTTAACCACGTGCCTTTACACACAAATTTGCTTGTCTTCTAAGTCAAATAAAATCTGTAATTCGCTGCTGAATTTACCACAACTGTAATACAATCCATTTTAAGCTATACACTCATAATACCATAAGACCAGCTCCGAATAAGATTCAGTGTCTAGAACTTGGTGGTAGTATCACAAGGGATGTGGCTAGTGAAGTTTAACCTTTTTAACATCTGTATTTCTTGACGTTCTTTGTCCAGGAGATGTGGGTGGGTAATTTTGAAGCAAATTACTTCGTAGTCATCAAAGCCATTGTTGTCTTTACAGTACTACTACATGATCCTGCCTAGAAGTTTTGGTAGGCTTGTTTTTACCCTCATGTTGATTTCCTTGAAGGATTGATGTGACCTTTGTTGAAATCACTGAATTGATTGTATCTTTGTGTGCATATAATTGTACAGATGGTTACGATTGTATGAGTAAATTTGATTTCTTAGTTTAGAAAATGTAAGAAAGATTTCAAAATGCAAGTATAGAAACTTTAATATAGAGTTCTTGCAAAAGCCTCTTACTTACTGCAAAATTTTGAGTGAATTCAACTATTCCTATTACGTCAAAATTGCTCTCTGCTACCAATTTATAATGTTAATTTTGACGAGTTTTTGACTAACTCTGTTGTTTAGGAGTCTTGTTGCTAATAATTCAGGAATTTTAATGATGGGTTAAGTATTTAGATTTAAGAAAAGAGCTTTGTATTTTTTTAAAGTTCTTTACACTAGTTATATTTAATCCTTTCTGCAAGTATGATAAGTACTAGGCATGTTCATCCTGTACATGTTAAAGGATTAAAGAGATTAACTTTTACCAGTGTATCATGTTAAAATTATGTTCATTTTAATATGTTCATGTTTTTCTTGCAACTTTTTAAACCAATACTAGTTGTAGAAAATACAGCAGCCTTTTGAATTATAAACAGTTAATTTTCATTATTTGAATTTTTACCAAATTTTAATAAGGTTTGTTTTATTTCAGAGCAAAATTCCAAGGTCAGAGCTGCCAGGACGTCCCTTGGAATTGTTTATGTGCAGTGTGCTAAAAAAGCAAGGCTATGGTGAAGGTTTTCGTTGGTTAGCTGAGTATATTTAAGAATAAATGAAATATTTAATTGTAAAAAATGTAAAACTTATTGCAGACATACCTTGAAGGAAACATATTTCATGTTCTGGAGAACATTCTTCACTGTTATTAGGATGTACCTTTTCATTATACCACCAGTGCTATTTAATAATGTTGATCATTCCATATAGTGCATTTATAAACTCCTAAAAACTGCTCTGAAATTTTGCAGTCGAATTTATAAACGTGCATTTTTAGTTTCATTCCAAACTAAATTATTTCTTTTTTAAGTTTGATGTATTTTAATAGTCAGCAATGTATTATGTCACAAATGCATATATTTTTGTTGCATTAGAAAAAAAATGTAATCTAGATTTATTTTTACTGGAATTTGCATTTTTTTATTTGGAATTTCTATCACATTAAACATTAAAAAAATGCGAAAAAATAAATTTCCTTCAAAATTTTTTTTATTTTTTTTTATATAAGAATATATTTATTAAATAAAATTTTTATTTTTTGCTTCATGCTATATCTTTGTTTACTGTTAAGTCTCGAATTTTGTATCTTATTAATAATAAGATCCTATGGGACACCACAGCCAATTTGCACAAAAATGTAGATATATTGAAAATAAGTTTTTGAGCAGATTTTAAATGAAAAATATCAACATAAATTTTATAAATTGAAAGAATGCATTCAAAACAGTTTTTAAATACAGTCAATTGAAAGGGAAAACATATATTTATTTAATTAGCTTGCAATTTCTGGTTATTGAACTGGAAAAGTTGGCAGTGATATATATTTATAAACGTGAGGAAATGCCTTTAATAATCATTTTCTATAGATGATGATGCATAATGCCATACCATATTGAAAATATAGAAATCAACTTTTTAATTTTATTGATTTTTGTTCAGTATCTTGTTTTTAGCATTTTAAAAATCTGATAATGCCTACCTTTGATTATTGCATCTGTAGGGTAGAATACATCATGATTTTTGAAAGATTAATTTATGAAATATTCATAATATATTCTAATAAAATGATCGAATATAGCTTGATTTTAGCTTAATTTTTAAATTACAAGTTTATGTATATTTAAACACTTAAACTAAGAAACATAATAAAAATATTCCTGTCTGTTTCTCATTGAAGAGTATATTCACATTTTTTATTAGAAATTCTTCATTTCATAGCTTTTTTATAACATTAAATGCTGAAGAATCTTCAAATTTTTATCACTAATTGAATCATATTGCTTAACAGTTGTAGAGGGAAAAGTTATTTTTGTTACACAGTTAAAAGTCTTTAATCCGGACTCTTCGGGATTTCGGCGATTCCGGATTATCGATTTTTCCGGATTATAGATCATCAGTTTAAATCTGATAAGATGACATGCAGAAATTATAAAATTAAAAATATGAAACCGTAATTAAAGAGCAATTATGATGTAAAGGGTATCAAAATTTACAAAAAAAAAAAAAGCTTAATATTTATTTGTTTACTTTATTAAACATTTCTTTCAACGTGCGTGTGTGTAAACCATACATTACGCATAGTCGAAATTAGAAAATTGCAACCAGAAAACTATTTGATGTGTACTCGTGATATTTATAATGACGAGGAATTTGATTTAAATCATATCAAAGACGGAATACTTCGAGATGAAATACTACATTTAGTAAGGAATTATAAGCTGAATAAAATAAAAAACATCTGCCCTGAAAATAAGGACAGTGCTGACAGATCAACTTCTAGTTCATTGCGTGCCATGATGCCCCCCCTGCAGAGCAGCATGAAATTGATAAACAGATTTCGGAATCGTTAGAGAAACAAAGATGCCTTTATCCATTTTTTGCAGCAATTCCACTTTTTGTTTGATGGACATCAAAACATACTTTCGCTTTGTGTAGATCCTTTGGGAGCTCCAGCATCGGAAATTCTATTTGACATAATCGAAAGTTCAAGCTTACTTTTATAAAATTGAACAGTCTGCAAAAAATAATAAGCCGGATCCAATTCGAAGATTAAGGAACAACGCAATCTGCAGCATTAACTGAAATATATAATTAGATAATTTTAGCTAATACCGTCTGTCATACATTAAACGTGCATGCGTAAATGTATTATGCGCATGCACACACGCATGTGCGCAGCCGTAAAAGGTCTTACGCGTATGCTTAAACGCCTATGCGTAAACGTCTATGTGCATATGCCTCAACGCGACGCATGCACAGAAAGTTTGTAGCTTTGAGGTCTGGATTATAGGTGTCCGAATTAACGACTTTTGACTGTACTAATTTGTAATTTAATGTACATTTTTCTAATTTTTTAATTCTGTATATCCAAGCAGGCACAGTAAAGCATTGAGGATGATATTATAAATATTTTTATTATCAGCATGAAAGAAAGTTAATGAGAAATTGTTAATTAAAGTAAGCTGCAGTGATAAAAATCTTTGGGTGGTTTTAGTCTTGGATATTATATTACATATATCCCTGAAAAACTTCGTGACACTGAGTGAGAAAGACCATGGATAAGTAGGTGGGTAAATTCTTACGGAAGTTGTGATAACAAAGGATGCTTGGAATGTCATCTTGCAATTGAAAATTTGCAAATCTATAAGAAAAGGTTATTTAAAAATTATTAAATTTTATTTATTTAAAGGTTATTTTAGTTATCATAAAAATAACACAAAAGTAAGAGATAGGCATATCTTTTTTTATTTTTTTCATGAAAAGAAGCAGAGTTGCTAAACATTTTAAAATTGTTGCAGACTTTGCAAATAGTGCAAGCTTCCATGTATCTGCTTGAACCATTTTTTTTTTGGTCAATTGAACTTGAGTTAATAAGTTGTTTGAGTTATCATTGCACTATTATCATATCATTAATCCAAATTATACTGGAATAGGGATCATCATAATGGCAGTACTGAGAAACAATCAATGGTCATGTTCTTAGATGAATTTTGTATCATGTTAAAATTAGTTCTAATCATTAAATGGTATGGCAAGAATAAGGAACACACATCCAAAAAGCTCATGATTATACTGAGGGTGTAATGATAAGAACAGGTGCCACATATCTCTGTTTTACAGTTTGTCATAGCAGAAAATTATTGTACCTAATTATTTCTGGGCCATGTTTATCATTTTTGTAACTAAGATTTTCTGTACTTGGAAGGTAGCTCTGACTGAAAGGAAACAAATGATGTGATTGAGGTGCTAAAGAGTGAAATTGTAGCTTGATGTGGTTTGCATGTTTAGACTGTGTTTGAATTTATCTAGGATGCTCATGATAGAGTTTGGCACATAAAAGAGATCATAGACCCTGAATGTACAGTCACACCGACTTTCCTTGTAAGCAAAAATTGATACAGCTTTATTGAAAGCATGCCAAACTAAAGCAGAGCATTTATTGGAGTTTTATGTGTCCAGAACTACCCACTGAAATTATGAAATCTGTTGCTATTTGTGGAAGACTACAAGTTCTGTGATTATTCTATGATACTGTATAGAGCATCATCATATTTCTGTTCTTTTTTTTAGTGTGAAATCCATACATTTCACTTAAAGATATTTTAATAAATTCACTTTAATAAACATACAATTCTCTTGCTATAAAATTGGTATGTATCTTTCTTGGAATGATGTGTATCATTAATAAAACCTTAAAATCTTATTGTTCTTAGCCATAGTAAAGCACTGTAGTATTTATATGTAATCATGAAACTTAATGTATATTTTTATCATGTATCAAACATTGTTATATTTTATAGTTTTAATTACAAGAATTTATTTTAAGTTAATGTAAGCCAGCTTTTTAAAAATATTATTGAACATATCTGATTTGTTCCTCCATATCAGTTTATGAAGAATTTTTAATGGCTTTAATAAATATTTATAAACTGCTGTTTTGGTTCTCTTCGCATTCAGATACACTTTGAAGTACCATGAAGACTGAAGCATTGCAGTATTTTTTGAGAGTATATATATATTTTCTCATTACACAAAACAATTATTTATAACAAACAGATGTGTATAACTATAATCTAATGCAGGCCTCCACAACCTCTGAGCCATGGGTGATTAAATGACCCGTTTTTTCAAGTGACCCAATTAAATTCTGAAAATAAAATGTAATATATAAAAATGAGTTATATAAATATAACACGAAAACTTAATGAATGCATAAATAAAAAGTTACAGTAATGAGTATACATTTTTATTTTTTAAAACAAAAATTGTAAGGAGAATAAAATAATTGAAAGTAAATATTTCAAGGAGAAATTGATAACTTTGACAACAGCAATCCATCATTCTTTTACAGAATCTGGCAAAACTGGTGGTGTTCTCTCAATTCAGTCTCAGTTGTAACACTTTGTTCAGCAATGCAAGAATAGCAATGCAATTATAATTATGCAGTGAAATGATTATCATTATTTAAAACAAATTATTATTGTGGATAAGCAAAAAAGAGATTATTTCGAGATATGTGGAAGGAAAATTATGGATTTATTGGAAAATTGTGATAAGTTGATAAATATTTTATGCTCGGATGGAATTACCATTAGAGTTTACAATATTGAGTGACACATTTCTTCAAAACAAAAATGTTAGTGAAATGCTAAATGAATAAAAATTTGAATGCATTGCTAAATATATTTAATTTTGGAAAACAAAATATATTTTTAGAGGTTTTTTTACCAGCTGCAATCATGGTAAAACTACAAGCTTTATTGCAGTTTTTAGCATTTTAGCCAATGGAAATATTTAATGACTTGATAAAAACAAATAATTGAGAGAATTACAGAAATGCCATTGCTAGCTAGAACAGTTCAGCATCACATTGAAGATATGGCCGAAAATGATGATGAATAAGTCAAAAATGATTTGTTACGTAATGGTATAATTAAGCATTGCCACTCAATGAAAGTACTGGTGAAAATAGTATGGATAGGCATGCAATTGTTATTACATATGCATCAATAAATAGTTCAAAAGTCAGTGAAGAATTTTGTTGTCTGACTTATCTGAACAACACAAACAAATGCCCTGACATTTTTCATTGAGTATAAGAGTTTATTAATTTTGAAAATGATCAAGTTTTGGACTTAAACAGTAAATTGCTTTCCATAATAACTGATGGTGCTCCAGCTATGAGAGGAAAAAAAAAAAAAAAAATTAAGCAGTTGGGTTTGTTAAACTGACGAAAAATGAACTTGGCCACTCTTTTTTTTCATCATTTCATTGTATCATACATGCAGAAAAATTATTTGCAAAGGTGTCTCGGCAACAACTTAAAGATGTAATGGAAAAGATTGTTAAGATCGTAAACATAATAAATAGTAACGTGATGAACACTGGTACCCAGGTGCTTCAAAGAATTAATGAAAATTGAATTTAGATATGGAGACTTGTGTTAAAGCATTTGGAAATATGATGGTTGAGGCAAAGCTGTTAATAGATTTGTAGAGTATTTTGATGAGATAGAAATATTTCATTATGAAATCTGAGAACATGATCTCGGACTTGACAATGTGAAGAATGGTTTTTAAGGCTTTTTGTTCTGAACAGATATGATGAACCGTTATAATAATTTCAATGAACGACTCCAAAAAAAAATCACATAATTTTGAAAATGTATGAGGAATGGAAGGTTTTTTTAAAAAATTAATATTGCATGAAGCGAAGAAAAAAAATCCTTTTTTGTTAAAAGAACAACATGGGAAGAAAGCATATATGAGAGCAATTTTAATGTGTTTGAAAGTTGAAATTTGGCCATGCGAAGTGAATTTGAAAGTCGATTCCTAATCAGAAGCACAGCGAATTGCTATAAAGCATGTTAAAATAAGAGAAAATGTTTTGAATTTGTAGTTTAATTTAGAAATTATTAATTTTATGGATAAATTTAAAACATTGCAGTAAAGCACAATAACACCGAACAAATACTAATTCAGAAGTCAAACAACAAAAATCAGCATTATATTTTCAAAATTTTTACAGGACTAGTTTCGATGGTTTTACCGAACCACCATCCTCAGCTGGAAAACCGCGAAAGGAACGCTGATTTTTGTTGTTTGACTTCTGAATTGCAGTAAGATTTGGAAAAATCAGAAGATCATGATTTTTTTTTTGTGCTACT